AGCACAATCGCTCCTGGCCCATTGTGGAACGAAGATAATCTTTGATGATAGCTATCTTGCTGAAAGATCTTTCTCCTTCAGATGTTGAAACGGGCAATGTTAGAAAGATTCTAAGAGAAACACACGGAACTATTGAATGCAGCCCCTTTGCATAAACTTCATTTAGAAGTTTGACAGGCTTTTCGCTGGCTAGAATATTTCTTCTTACGGAAAAAAAATGCCGAACTTCATCTGAAAATTCGTTTTTACATAAGTCTTCTGGGTAAAGTTTAGCCAGATTCTCAGCTTTTAAACCTAGTTCTTGGTCTGTTTGAGATTTCTGTAAAGACCAAAGGAAGGAAAACTTGCTACATTTCTCTTCTATTACTTTAAATCTTGATCTCATTTGACTAGTCAGATTTTCGAGTGCAACATTGAAGACATTACACTCAAAGTTTTTTGATGCTTCTTCGTGGTTGTAACCAGTAGTTTCATTGAGATGATCTTTTTTCGCGTTCTCTTCACAGTAAACATTTTTTTATCAAATTTCAAGTTCTTTGCAACTTCTGTTGCCTCTATCAAAATCAGGTCCCAAGACAGACAGATTCGATCCAGATCCATCAAAAGGCCATTTATAATCTTTACTTCATCATCGAGAGTGAGTTGAGTGGATTGAAGCAGAAGACTCACGTTGTTAACTGCCATCACACATTTAAACCAAAAATTAGTGAAAACAACAAATTCAAAAGAACTCATCCATTTAATGAGATAATGCACTTCATTACTACTTTCGCCTGGAAGGTCTAACTCTTTTAGACGATGTAATGATTTCAAGATCTCTCTTGGCTTTTTTGCTAGTGGCTTAACTGATTCAATCCTTGAACTCCATCGTGTAACAGAAAGTTTATGTAATGATTGGCCTGTCTCCTCCTAAAGAATTTTCCAACGAACTGGGCTGCTGCTGAACTACTGAGATTGTATAGCTTTTGAATATTTCCAAAATAGGATTTTGCAGGAGCCGATGATTCAATAGCGTGTACTGCACATAAGTTCAAACTGCGAGCAGAGCAAGGAATGAAAATTGCTTGTGGATTATTCTGTCTTATCAAAGCTTGAACTCCATTGAAAATACCTGTTATATTAGCGCCGTTGTCGTAGCCTTGACCACGACAATTTTTTATGTCGAGCTCATTCTCTTCCAACACATTCAATATCAACAATATTGTTATATCAGATCCCTTCTTCTTTTCAAGTTCTTCTAGCTTAAGGAATCTTTCTTTGACCTCCCACAGCTGATTATCATTGAAATGCAAAAAACGAAAAACAAAAGTTATTTGCTCGCTGTGGGACGAATCGGGAGTGCTGTCTGTGATGATGGTGAAATATATTGATTTTTTGATTATAGCTTCTCGAACCACTAATTTGCCGTATTCCTTGATAAATTCATTTTGTGATTTCCAAAATAAATAATGAGCTTGCATGCGTTTTTCTTCTTCTTGGTGCTTAGCAATAAGATGCATATGATCTTGTAATGTTTTGTTGTGGCGAGCAATTAATTCGAGCGCTCCAAGGAAGCTTCCATTTCCATTTTTGAACAACTTTTGATTGGATCCTAATTACAAACAAAAAATAATCAAAATAGTAATCCATATTTATATCCAATTAAAACTTGTAATTTTGATTTTTAAATTACAAATAAAATAATTCAAAATATAATTTAAAATTTAAAAACAATATTCTTACCCCTAAAAGCTAAGTTTCTTGAAGCTAGAAAAATTGTGACGTCAAGAATGCATTGTAAAATTACTTTCCATCGCTTTGTTTCATCTCCAATTTGTTTTTCTAACTGATGCTCAATGGACTTTTGACTTTTCAAGTGAATCGTAGCTGTTTTCCATTGGAGATAACAGTTACGGTGAAAATCGCTTTGTTGATGACTTTTAACGCGATCTGAAAGTTTTCTCCAATTTCCATGTATACCTCCATTCCAAGACAACAAACTGGATTGAACACCGGGCCCGGTTAAGTTAGGCGATCCAAAAAGGGAGCAAGGGAAACAAAAGAGTGATGCTACAGCCTGACTCCAAACGAGCCAATCTCTTTTAACTTTTTCTCCGTTTCTTTGTTCCTCTAAAAAGATATAAGTAGGGAATTTGCGTTCTTTTTATATCTTGGAAAATTTCTAGGATTTGAAGAAGGTCCCATCAGAATTATATTCGTTCGATCAGTGTCTGATATTGATTTCCATAGTGCAGGATCGTTAGAGATTGGTATAGAAAGATTACTTTTATAAATTTGCTGGTCATTGTGACAATCAAGAACAAAATCCAACTGATCCTTTTTTAAATGTGATGATGTTTTTTAGGAGTCATCGATGTCATCGATAAGAAAAAGTTTGTCAAAATTATGGTCTGGCAACTCATTGGAGTCATTGATACCGATCTCAATATCATTGAACTATAAAGAAGTATTAAACAGAATTATTCTAATTATTTTTTCATGAACGTCACAAGATTAAAAAATAATTTAACTACCTGCTTGCTTCGATTTTTGTCCAACGAACGCAATCTAAAAGCGTTCATTTGTTTTTGCTTTTGTTTTTTTTTCCGAATCATTGCTCTTTTTCTCCCAGCAGCTCCAGACAGCTGTTTCAATCGTGGAGGTCTTTGATTGTTCATGCTAAAACTTATGACGATATAAAGAATTTTAACTTTTTAAATTTTAAAAATTAAAAACATTATAATACTTTGGTGTTATTAATTGCAGAGAAAAAGCCAGTACTTTCAATTAAAATATCCACTGAAGATAAGTTTCTTGTAAAAATATAGTCGGAACAAAATGCAGGCGAGTCAAAAACATACATATGCACAAAAGTATCCACAGGGACGCAAGGTTTAAGTAAAAATAAGTTAAACTATCAGAAGTCAGGCTTTTACAAACGTTAAATAAGAAAATTTTTATTTAACGCTTTTTATTCTATCATGCGAACAAAAGGCCAATGAAAACGCGTGCGTTCAAATGGATAATGAAAACCTTGTAAAGTAATAATTATCCTATTTTAAATGCAAACAAAGTTTTAAAGGAGAAAGTAATTAATACACAAAAATTGCTTAATCTTTAAATACGTTATCAGCTAAACTTTTTATCATTTCAATAATTTTTTTTTTTAAGGCATGCGATGCCCCATAGACTGTGATGCCCGGGGCAAACTACTTCAATTGCCCCTCTCTTGGCGGCTCTCTATATATATATATATATATATATATATATATATATATATATATATATATATATATATATATATATATATATATATATATATATATATATATATATATATATATATATATATATATATATATATATATATATATATAGTGAAAACTAAATAATTATTAAGATCTATTTCAATTACATAACTAAAAGTTTCACGCAAGAGCGATTATCAGATGTAACAACAAAAAAAAGTAACTACAAAAATTATCTACAAATAATGCTATGGAGTGTCCGCTTTGATGACATTAAAGTTTTTTATTAGAAATTCATTTTCATGGCGGCATTTTGACGCAAGCTCGGTTCGTTTGTTAAGCAAATTCAATGGTGACGTAATAATGTGGTATTTTTCTGTCAAGCAAGTTTTTTTTTGGTGGTATTTTTCTGTCAAGCAAGTTTTTTTTGTATATAATTTTTGTCGTTACTTTTTATTGTTGTTACATCTGATGATCGCTTTTGCGTGAAACTTTTAGTTATGTAATTGAAATATATCTTAATAATTGTTTAGTTTTCACTATATTATTTGGTCTACTAATTATATAAAACGCTGTATTGAGCACTCTTACTGGAAATATTAACTTAAAATTACAAATATTTTAAAAACTTTAGATTTTTTAAAAAACTATATGTTTTTTTTTTATAATTTTTTTAAACACATTTATTTAACAATATTTTCTCACCACATTTTATGGTTACACTAACTACAAACATATTTAATTGGTGTGTTTTATCATGACAGTACACCACTTTACTAGCACAGACAACAGTCTTGCTCTCAACAAAAACAAGTCACATAGAACATAAATATAACTAAATATATAGATGACGAAAAATGTGTAACTTAGAAGTATTTTTAAAATAGTACCTTATTTGTTTAATGACATACCTCATAGTAAATGTTTAACAACTTTAAAAAACCTAAGGATCAAACAACCTGGTTTTTTATATTATAAAAGCAAGCAAATTTTCTTTAAAATAAGATATTAAACGATCTTTTTTATTAACATGCAACATAGAGTTGAACGTGTGAGATGCAAGGGTTTTGGAGATAAACACTAACTTTATGAAGAGTTTGACGTTTTGACCTTTGAAAATAGCATTGTCTTCTAAAGTGATCATCGACTTCTAATTGTTTTTTTTTAATTACTGATTTATATACTTTAAATACAATTAACAAAGGACCTGAATTGTGTTATTATTAAAATTCATGAATTAGATAAATTAGCTGACTTTAAAAGCTACTACCCAGTGGGCAAGCGTCGTCCGGAGGACGTCTGCTAGACGTCTCATGGACGTCCAGACGTCCGTAAGACGTCCAATAGACGTCCCCCGGACGACGCATGCCCACTGGGTATACTCACTTAAAAATAACAAAAGATTTTTCCTTTAATACAGAAGTCATCAAATTATAAAGCTTTCGATCTTACTACTAATTAAGTTTTTGATCTTTTTACTGAATATACAGATATTGACAGATTATAAAGATTTAAGAGTACCTCATTGTGTGGTCATTACTTTAAATAAAAATATTGAAAGGCCAATAATGGTAAAAACTCCGTGTCAAAAGTATGTTATAGATAGATAAAACTATCTATTTAAGTTTTTTTTGAATATGGTGTAATATCGCTCTTAAAAAAAATCACAATTCTTTGAAATTATTTTTATTTAAAAATTTTTTGAAAAAATCACAGTATTTTTAAAACTATATATATCTACTCCCAAATGAACTTCTTTTTTTATTTTCTTAGTGTTAGGCGTGACATGTGTTATTCGTTCTTCCGTAGTTCCGCCGGTAGAAAATGAATATGAATTTATAAAGTCGATTAAAATTTTACCAGATCTTTCTTATTTAAAAAGCTACGCTTGCGAAGTTTGTTTATCAATAAAGCTTAAAAATTATACTTTGATTGATTATACACCTCGTTCGGTATCCATACAAACCTGTCTGCCCTCATACTCTTGCAGTTCATCGTTTTGTGATGGTTATGAGAGTTTGAATATTTTTTGTGAGGTAAGTTATTATCATCTTTGAAGCCATTAATAAGGGTTTTTTGCAACAAATAATATTCAGATATACAGAACAAGGGCTATTTATTATAGTTAATCTTATCTCCGGTAGTCTTTTTATATTAAAACACACTGTAACGGTATTGAGAATAATATTATTAACAAAAGAAGCATCATTATTAAAAAGCAGCAACAATATTAACAGTAATAGCATCGATAATAATAGTAGCAATAATATAATACAAGCAATAATAACATTATAGATAATAACAGTAATAATAACATTATTATAAAATATTATAACAATAACAAAATGATAACATTAATAATAATAACTTAAGAAACAAAATAACAAAATAATAATAAACTAATAAAAATTACAATTTAATAACATTATTAGTAATAAGATTATTAAAAATATTGTAAGAATAACAAAATAATAACGTTAATAATAATAACAATAGTAAGAATATTAGCAATAACAACATTATTGATAATAACAGTAATAATAACATTTTAAAAATTATTGTAACAATAACAAAATAATAACGTTAATAATAATAACAATAGTAAGAATATTAGCAATAACAACATTATTGATAATAACAATAATAATAACATTTTAAAAATTATTGTAACAATAACAAAATAATAGCATTATTAATAATAGCATAAGTAACAAAATAACAAAATAATAACAAATTAACAAAAATAACAACTTACTAACATTATTAATGACAGCATTATTAATATTCATGTAACAACAACAAAATAATGACGTTAATAATAATAACAGTAGTAAGAATATTAGTAATAATAATTATAGAAGTAATAATAAAAAAAATAGGGGAGAATAATTTTTATATTAACAATAATAGTAATAAAATAATAAATAATAACATCAGTTACAATAGCTCTAGTGATTTATTTATATTACAATACTTAACTTAAACCATAGTTGAAATTTTATTTTATTAAAAAATAAATTTAGGTTGGCATGAAAAATTTTAAAATCGTCAGTTACAACAGCTAGTAATATATATATATATATATATATATATATATATATATATATATATATATATATATATATATATATATATATATATATATATATATATATATATATATATATATATATATATATATATATATATATATATATATATATATATATATATATATATATATATATATATATATATATATATATATATATTTATATATATATAATTTTTCGATTGAAAAAACGGTATTATTATATAACGTTGATTTTTATAAAGATTGGTATTTTAACAAACAAAACGAGAATATCAAAATACATGTTGATCAGCAAGTAAGTTATTAGATTCAAGATGAGAGATTAAATGTTTGTTAATTAAATATTTAAAAGCCTTGCTTATAATAGCAAGCAGTGGCGGATTTAGTATAAGGCGTGGGGGAGGGGGAAGCGAGCTGCCTTTTCCCCACGCCCTCCTAGAACGGTCTATCGGCAGATATATATATATATATATATATATATATATATATATATATATATATATATATATATATATATATATATATATATATATATATATATATATATATATATATATATATATATATATATATATATATATATATATATATATATATATATATATATATATATATATATATATATATATATATATATATATATATATATATATATATATATATATATATATATATATATATATATATATATATATATATATATATATATATATATATATATATATATATATATATATATATATATATATATATATATATATATATATATATATATATGGTATCTGTTATTTGAGATGAAATACGAGATATCATGACCTAAGAATTGCGGTCTTTGCCATAAGGCTAAATTATTTGCCAATGGTTTCTAGCAATAGTAATAAGACGTCTGTTTTTTGGCAAAATATTTTGCTGGTAGATAAGGGAGTAATTGTTTTAATTGAAACTTGCAGCAGCACAATGTAAGTAAAAGCATGGAGAAGAGTGAGATTTAATTCAGAATCAGCGAGATGGAATAAAAGATATCATGCCAGCCTGAATCCAAGAAGTTAGGTAAGAAGCAAATTTATCACAAGGAACATAGAAGATTTCTACCTACGGGCTATCGCAAAGAAAATCACGAAAGAATTCCAGTCAGCTTGAAGGTAGTTATAAGAGGTAAAACAATAGGGGGATTTTGATAATGAAAAAGAATAAGATATTAGTTTTAGAGAAATCAAACTGTGATCAGATGTACATTAAGGTATATGTGAAAAAACTGAGCTTTGACTATGATCAGAAACAAGCATTAAGTTGAGTAGAGAAGGTAAATGATTCGGGTTGTCTAGAAAGCGATTTGGAAAGTTAACTATTTGATTTAGAGATTTAGAAAGGCAAAAATTGTGGGCCTTAATGCCTGCAGTGTCACTGACACTAGAGCCAAGCAATTCAGTGTGATAAGCATTAAAGTCACCATCAACAACGACATGGTCAATTTGATTGGAAATAACATTGAAAAGTGAGCAGTCTTGAGATGAAGGAGAGCGATATAGAACAAAAAGAATAGCAAAGAGTTAAGTGATGCTAAACGAATGCACATAAAAGAATATTCAGTAGATTCAAATTTAGTTTCCCAACAAAAGGGAGAATTCTAACGAATGTAAATGCCCAGCCCGATCATATGACTATTGAAGTTTTTACGAATTAAAGGAAGATAACCATCAACACTAAGATCACAGAAGAGACAGCTGAACTCAAATTAGTATCACGAAGAGCAAGTAGGTCTAGCAAACTTTTCAAGAAATTAGAGTCAACAGAAAAAAAGTTACTTTGAAGACCACAAGTATTAGTGAATAGTAGGTTAAGAGATATTGGCAATGACAATGGTATTTTGTGTTTTATAGTTTTTAGTACTTTAGTCATTTTTAAGTTTGTTGAATAACTTGACTTTAAGCGTAGATATTACTCAGTACACTATTTAATAGTCCACGCAATTGCCTTATTACTATTAATAAAAATTGTTTCAAACGTGGCCTTGACAATGCACGAACAGGGACACCACCCATTTGCAACATAGCACTGTTAGTACTCTGATATTTTACAGCTGTTGATGGAATCAGCCTTTCTGAGAGTTTTCACAGAGTTCGGAAACCTGACTATTAGCCGGTCTCATAACCATAAAACTGAGCTTTAGTTGCCTATTCATAAAAACAGAGACACAAGCGAAATCCATGCAATGAGTCAAAAAGATCTACCATTCAACATTCTAAACGGGAAACAATGTATTATGAATTCATCTACGCTAGCCTTATTGATGAGGGCGGGGTTCGATATGCTACATGGCATGCTAAATTTTACTTTAAAATAATTTTTATAAATTTTTAAGGTTTTTGAATTAGTGAATTTTTATTTTTTCAATTTTAATTATTAAAATGCTTTTTATTTTAGGCGAGTTGCTGTTCCAAAAATCTTTGCAACTCTAGCGGTAGATTAGAAGGTTTTCTCTTTTGGAAATGGCTTTTGTTGATATTATTTGTATTTTGGTTTTTGCAATAATGATTTAAAGTGTGTGTTTTGTTATTTTAACTTTATATATATTTTTTTAAACAACTCTTTGATCAAGCTCTAATTTTTTAACACTTTTAATAAATTATGCAAAAAATAAAAAAAATTAACGTAAAAAAAAACCTTTTACATTTAGAAACAATTTATGTAAGTTTGTGATGTGCAGTGCATATTTTTGAAACTAATATTTGTAAATGATTAGCAATAAAATGTTTTTCACTTTTTACATAAAGTTTTTATTATTTTGTATTTTTTCAAAGAATTGTTTATTTCAACGAACCTTGACTTTTTTTTTCCTAGCGTTCCAGTGAGCTAAGGAAAAGTCTTGCAAACTTTTTAAAAGGTCACGAGAAAACATTTTTTAATGGTATTTTCAAGTGTCTATTTTAAAAGGTTACCGGACGTTTTTTTAAAATAAATTTTTGACATTTTTTAAAGCTCTCACGAAAATATTTTTTGTTTATTTTAAAAACGTCCCTTTGAAAGATTGACCGGACGTTTTCCTTAATAAAACATTTGCTGAGCATTTTTTAATGGTTCCACGAAAACTTACTTTATTTGTTTCTATTGGTATTGCTGAACAACTTTTCTTTTGATGTATAAGTTATGTAGATAAATAGATTGCTATACAAAAAAAAAATTTTATAAACTTAGATGTAGCAGCCTAGATTTGGCCTAAACTTAATTATGTTGTCCTTATGTACAATACAAGCATACAAAATGCCATAAAGTAATTGTTATGCTATTTTATTAAGAGATCTCTTTAAATGATGATCTATCAATTTCTTGACTGAATAGACTATTGCTGCATGTAACACTAATGTCTCAAAAAAAAACAAAAAACATAGGAACATTTAAAGCATTAAACTAATACATTTACATAAACACGCATTTATACTCATGGAAAATTTTAAACGTTATGCTTAGCTTTTTTTATTAGTTTTTTTAACATCGTTATTATTTGATTACGTTATAAAGTTAGGAAAGCCAAGATGTTATAAATTAAAGCTGCTATTAATATAAAAATTTTAAATATGACCTATGATCTAACAACTTCTTTATAAAATCTAATAAATTAAATAATATAATATTTCATTTCACTCATATAACAGTATAGTGGGGTAACGGTAGAGGTCTTCCTTCATAAGCCAGAATATCCGAGTTCATTTTCTACTACGTTTACTGGTAGTACCGCGCTCAACTTTTTTCTACGCATTGCGGCCTTATTTGTCAAGGTTCGTTTTTTGTAGTTAAAAAGTTAAGAGAGGGTTTTAACCACAATAAATTAGTATCCACGACTGCAGTGGCCCTCTTGGCCTTGAGAAGATGAATTACATTGAAAAAGTACGCACCACATATCCTTAAAAATTATCTTCAATTATTTAAATACGATAAAATTTTTTTTGAATATATTCTCCCGTAAGTTCCAGCTTTCTTATATAATTCTTTAACACTTTTTAAGATAGTTCCTTTTAAAACTTTATTAGCAGAAGCTAAAGTTGTATACCCACCTATTTATTAAACTAAATTGAGGTAAAATAATATAAAATGATTATTCCTATTTTTTATTCAATTTAGTTAAAAAATACGTTATACGTTAGTTTAACAAAAATTACTTAAACAAATAAAACATACTTTATAATTTAAAATTGTTTCAATTTTATTAAACCAATTTATGCCATTTGTTTATCATAATAAAATAATTTACCTTCAAGCTTAGTTTGTTCCAAAGGATTTTTTCTGCTATTAAAAACATTTTGAATTCAATACTTTAAGCATGCTAGTTTTATAATTTTGGAAAAGAGATATCTGTAGTTCATAAGGAAATCTATCAATAAATATTTAGATATGTAACGTAAAAATCAAAAATAATTTGAACATAGTAAAGTGCAAATGAAAACTTGTCGTGATATTTATTGAAATGAATATCATTAAGTCTTATAAAAAAAAGTCAACATTTTTTAACATACGTATCTTACCCATAGGCTTTAAACTTAATAAAAGTTCATTATAATAAATTCCATTAATGGTAACAATAGATGACGAAGTTATTCTAATTCAATAGCTAATAAGCAATCTTGGCCGCATTCGCTCATCATGGAATAATATTTTGACTGAAGCGAAAGCTGTTGCAGATCCTCTAGGCTTTAAAACGGAGTTTTAGACAAAACGAAAGAAGAGAGTGAAACGGTATAACAATGAACTTGAAAACGTAGCTTTCTGCTAGAAGAAGAAGACGAACACGATTTCATACAAAAATTTTTGCATCTTAATTGTTTGAAGGAGTCTTCGTTATTCCTAGAAACTCATTGAGCCTTTTTAACCAAATACATTCAAAGAGTCTGCAGCCTATTTTTTCATATGTATGCATCTTAATTTGAATTTTTAATACAATGCCAGTATCTGTTGCAAAGGGTGAACAATCCTTAAGTAAACTAAAGTAGATAAAAAAATATTGTAAAGCCACTTTAAGACAAGGACGTCTTTCGGATCTCATGATGTTTTCAGTGAAAAATGAGTTGGCTAATACTCTTTTCATATGATGATACAATAATAAATTTTGCCTGTAAAAAAGCAAAAAAAGAGTGTTTAATATAGACCGTTTTTTCTTATTTTAATTTCTAAAGAATGTCTAATAATGCACTTTACGTTGTATTGGCGTTGCTTAGTTGTATTTTTTGTAGACGCATTTTTGAAAATTTTGCTGTAAAATGATTTTAAGAGAAATAAACCACAATTATGAAAATTCATTTTAAAACCGTGTACAGTCATATATATGCATGAATAAATTCAATAAATTTTAACTCATCTATGCCTAAAGGGGCGCCTTTAAGCATGCATGACAAAGAAAGTTGAGGAAGAGCTCATGTCAAATGAACTCTTCAAGTCTTTGTCGGTTCGACTAACAGCACTATTGCACCTTCTAACATCGTGTGCAATTCTGTCCGCTATCTTTATGCTATTTTTTTAACACGACTACTTCTGCCTTTCACTCTAACATATTTTCGTTCTTGCCAAACTCACCTTACTCTTAGTCCGTAGCGGGTTATTAAGCTCTTTTAGGATACAAAACAAGTCCCTGCGGACCGAGGTGATGTGACCTCCACAAGACAATTAGCTGGCGGAGGATAAACCACAAAACCTTAAAGGGGCGCCTACTCAACGCTATGCCCCGGGCGCCACAAAAGCTCTCAGCGACTTTGTATATATACATATATATATATATATATATATATATATATATATACATATATATATATATATATATATATATATATATATATACAAATATATATATATATATATATATATATATATATATATATATATATATATATATATATATATATATATATATACAAATATATATATATATATATATATATATATATATATATATATATATATATATATACATACAAATATATATATATATATATATATATATGTATATATTTCTTCGATTTGTTAATAAATTTATGTGTTTTTTTTTGTTTTTTTTTTGAGCGGTGAAACTTAAAACTTTTTATAATTTTGTTTATATGAATCTTATATCTGTTTATTATTAATAAATAATCTTAGCACTCAATTTTTTTTTCTTGTTCAAAATTTACATCAAAGATTTGTGATAAATTGACACCATTTTAGTTAATGAAAATTGTCCTAAAGTAAAAAAGTTAACAAAGTTTTTATATTTTAATTTTAAACTAAGTCTTTTATTTTGTATGCAGTTTATTATTTTTTTGTTAATTTAATTTAGTTTTTGAATATTTCCACTATTTAATAGATAAAGTTAAAGCCGTTATTCAGTACACTTGTCCAAAAACTTGTCTTTTTATTAGATGGAGATCCATAACAAGAACTTGACTCTTCTTTGTAGGGTCTGTGGATTTTTGGTTGGTAAAAAAAGTTACCTTATTGGAACAAACCAAAAAAATAAAATTGAAAAGGTTTTCCATGTTATGCTATCAGTTGAGCAAGAAAATGTTCATCCAAATAAAATTTGCCATAAATGTTATAATACCATTAACAATGTTATCAAAAGAATGACATCAACAACACTTCATTTAAGTATGAACTGGAAACCTCATTGTGATGAATGCTTTTGCTGTCAACAGGTAGAAAAACTCTGTAAAGGTCTAAATGTTGCAAAATTACTTAAACAAAATAAAAAGCTTATTGGTCGCCCTGGTGTTGGTAAAAAAGTCTGGTCATTTTCGATGATTGCTAACATTAAAAAAAGCATTGTGACAACACATGACTCAGAAATAGATATTGAAGAATTAAAAAATGAATTTAATCCTCATTTACAACTTTGTCAGTGTAATTTATGTGGTAAAATACCAAAACAACCAGTAACTCTAAAAAAATGCGAACACTTATTTTGTTTTTTCTGCATAGTGGAAAATATAAAAGTAAAAAAACTCAATGAAACATCATGTCCAAAATGTAAAGAGCTCATTTTACCTGAAGATTTAGTGACAAGTGTTAAAACAAATTCTCTTTTAAATATGTTAACTGTTGAGTGAATATGTAAAAAAAATACAATGTAATGAAACAATATGATTTATATACTAATCATAAGAGTGTCTGCATTGATAAATCAATAGTACAAGCAGCCCCATTGTTATCACCATTAATATCTTCATTTGCTTCTAACTTGGCTTCATCATCATCTTTTACAGTATCAACATCATCATCAAGATCTTATTTATTTTACAACAAACATTCTGAGATTTTCAATCTCACAGTGGATAATGATATTCCAAGAATAGTTGAAGATGCTGCACTCCATGTTCTTAAGCAAAAGATGGCTAAAGATGGTGTAAAGAGGATCTAGAGTAATGATATTTTTTAATTTTAGCTTAATATGTAATAACTATAAATTAAATAGGTCTTACTTTTCAAAGATCTTTCTTTTTAGCCAGTTTTGTTTTCGCTTACTCGAAAAGCATATGTTAGCAGTAACCAAGCATCACATACAACTATAAGAGTCAGAAATGCTTCTATTAAAAGACACATGAAAGTTATTTCTGGTACATCCAATGATGCAGTTTGTTGCCAAACATCGAAGCTGATAAATTCATTTCAAGCAGAGACAAAGGGGTTAATATTAGATAACCTAAATACTGAAAGAGTAGTAATTAGTGCCACCAACATGGTAGCAATGAAAGCAGATCTGTGCATACCTTGGGAAAAAACAATATCCAAGTTTTTATTTTTTTATATGAATTTTATTATATACTAGTTTTTTGTTGCATGAAATATAACTTTTTATG